TGTGTTATATAAGACCAATAATTATGATTTTAAAAGACATGGGTAACATGAGAAACCTTGCTTGATACCTGGAATAGTCAGAAGCTCCTGTATGGGAGGGTTAATCTGAACACAGTGATCTATTTGGGTTTCAAGCTGGATCCCACAGTGAGTCCTGTGTGGGCACAGGGATATCTCCAAGCAGAGGCTATTGTAGGATTGGGGCTAAATTTGTTTAAATGATCTACGGAAGTATAAAGTAAACTTAAAGTGTTATATTTAGAATTCACATATGCTCTTGCTCTTTCACAGCTAAAGTTTTTGTCCATGAATGGGCCCATCTTCGTTGGGGAGTATTTGATGAATATAATTACGATGCACCTTTCTATTTGTCTGTAAACTCTGGAAAAAAAACTGTTGAAGCAACTAGGTACCAATGTTTTATATTTTGTCTTCAGCTGATGAAATTTTAAATATTTCAGTGATACCTGTCACATACTGGTTATCTGTGTTCAGTCTGTACATTGAGCCCCATGCGAAGAGTTTTGGCAAGTTGTTGTTCATAGGATTAAAAAAGAAACTTATACAATGATGTTTAACTAAAAATATTGCTGTCTACAGATCAGTCTCATTGAATCTTCACTATCATTTTGTAATGTGTCACATTTTTACCACTAAATGAGCTTTTAATTTAGATGCAATTACAGATTTGAGTTCCCATTCTCTACATTCTGATTTACCCTGGCTTTATCAAATAGCAGTTAGCATGTAGTAAATAAGAATATTTTCTCAAGTTCCTTGGGGGTGGGAGGAAGATCTTGGAAGTTCCAAAACATTCTTACTAGTTAATGTTTAGTGTTATTTAAATATTAAAAAGGAACATGGTCAAAGTACACACCCCATTATTGCCCTGTTTTAGTGCTATTACTATCTTATGATAATGTTCTCTAGATTCTTCATAGTTAAGTGGGTTTTTTAAAATGTTCAACTCTGTCAATGAGAAACAAAAAACAGTGAGACTGGATATCTCAGTGGGTTTGAAATGGGATACAGAACTTTTCACCTCTCAGGCACTGATCT